GCCCTGAGACAGCTGGTACTGGATCGAGCCAGTAGAGAATGGAAGAGGAAGCGAACACGACCCGTCGCATCGCTACCGCTGTTCAAAGCCTATGCGTAGCGCATTGGGCGGGTGCTTGCGAACAAGGAGTGGATGGAGCTATTGCGTGTCGAACATGGGATCAGAGTTGACCTGGCGAAGAGCGTGTGGACGATTGCGGCCAAGCTCTTGACGTGCCAGGCTCTTGTTGGAAGTGCGTTGGTGCTGGACGAAAAGTTCCGCCTGCGAACGGCGTTCAAGGACGGCCTTTCTGCGTAGTGCGGCGATCTGACCAATGGTCGCACCAAAAGAATTTAAACATGATGAAGAGATAGATCGAATATGTTGTATATGACAGTAGCACTGCTCAAAGTCCTGAGACAGATTATGTATGCTCAGCTGCTATGAAGCGGTGTAGAGAAATTATGGAACGCACAGTGAGCAAGCTCAAGCTCAAGGCTCGGCCCCTGACCGTAAGCCGTATGGCTCCCTGTGCTAACGCTATCCTTCGAGCGAGGACTTACTGGCGAGGGTGCTTACTCAGCTGACGGGTGTACTTAACTCGATGAAGGAGGAAGCGAGCAAAGTTGTCGTGTTTAGCGCCAGCGTTCAAACGCGTCTCAGCATTTATATTGCTGTGGTAGCGCGATTTTTTCTTGATAATTAGTCGAAAGCCGGTTGACTAAGGGCCAGTACCAGCGTTTCTTCAGTTCTAATGAGCGGCAAGAGCAGCTTTCCCTTACAAAATTGGCCGTAAGCTGTTTGGACAGGAACCCGTACCCTCCCAATGCTCACCCCGGCCTGAGAAGGGTGAGAGCCAAAAAATCCACTTTCCTCCAGTATTACCGCACTTTAGGCACCATATGTATACAACTGAGGGAAAAATTGAGTCTTTTTTATCCAAATTTGGCCAGACTTACCCAAGAAAAGATTGGCGCTTGCGTCACCCAGCATTCGCCGCAGCTGACGCGCTAATCGTGACCGAGGGCAAAGTCTCGCGATACTCGTCGGCAAGCGAGCAGTGTGATGGTACGGTAGCAGCTAATATAATTATATCACATCACAGATGACTACCTAGTGCAATGCAACCCCAGGGCAAAACGACACGCTTCGAAGTAACACAATGTTACGACAACAAGCTCGATGACCCCGCTGCGCGGTTGGGAAGCTGTGGTACCACATTATCGCAGCAGACAAAAGGATTGCGAGTCCATGCATCTAGGGAGTGGCCAGTCCGTCTTGTGTTTCCTGGGGGACCTCAATCAGGTCTCTCAATATGGAAGGCCGTCCTAGCCTCTGTTCCTCCTCTACCATGTGGCGTTCGCCGTTCGGTCTCAAGAGGCAGCTCCCAGAGGTCCGTGCCAACGTAGTCGCGCGAATTTATTAGCACCCGCTCGCGTTTGGGAAGTTACGCACGACGTACCGGGCCGCGTCCATCGCATTATGGAGCGGCGAACAACCGAGGTCGAGTTTCGTAAGTTTTGGAACGGGGGCTGACGTCGGAGAGTGCTCCTCGTCAAGAGCTTCGTCATCGTCGTACACGCGGATGCCAAGCTCGACCAAGTTTGGCATGGTGTGCACTAGGTCAGGGAGCGCGGAGAGCGAGACGCGCGCTGGGCTGGCAGGCTGGTCCTGCCCGAGGCTGGGCCGACGCAAGTTCGGCCAGGCACTAGCGAAAGCGCGCACTTCTGCGAGGTCGAGGTCAACCCCGGCCCCTTCGAGCATAAGCTCGCGAACAGGGAGCGCAAGGAATGGCGCATAGCCTTGCATCCCGAGCGGCGGCTCACTCGCGCCCCAGGATACCTGGAGGATATCGCACGAGACGAGGCTCGACGGGAGCGCCGCGAACGCGGAGAAAAACTTGTCAACACTCGCGCGCGAGACAAAGCAAGTGAGGGTGACGGAAAGTGTGATCTGATGCAGTGCACAGACGGGAAGGAGGTGTTGCAGGAGTGCTGTAGGACCTTTGAACGCCTCTAAATCATGAATATAGCATTTTTCCGTGTTCGTGTATCGAAGCTCCAGGGAGAGCAGGTACAGGAGAGGTGTAACAGAGAGCTGCCGGTCTATCGCATCACGATCTGAGAATGTGTCCAAGGAGAGCTCGAGCCACTTAAGGCGCGGAAGGCTCGTCAGGAAGGCCATGTCTTTTGCATCTATCCGTGTGGGCTTCTCGAAGGGCCCATTGGTCAACTCCAGTCGCAATGTGGTCAAAGTGCTCATGCACGAGTTCCGGAGGAACACTGGAGAGATATCCTTAATAGAGTATACGTCATTGTTCCGGCGCCAAAGCTTGGTGTATGCAGGTTCGGGGAGAAGAGCGCAACATGAAATGCTTCAAAGAGATCGGGATGATTGTGTTGCAGGATGCGGAGGCTTGGAAAAGCAGGTGCATCACCAAAGTTATCTTGAAACACGCCGGATCGACATAGGGTCCGAGTTCTAGAGGGTCATCGCTGCCGCCCGCACTACCGAATATCCTGCACCCGACGTGGTAGCTGTGTTTTGTCGATGGATCGAGGGTTTTCTGTGGCGTGAGGCTGTTTAGGGCGCGCACGCAGCGCGCATGGTGTAGGAACCGCGCCATGTCATCTTCTCTGAGTGCCGCTCTGGTGAACGTCTACGATCCATGGAGACATGTCAAGTCACAAATTTCCGAGTAGCGCATATCAAGCCCGTGAGCAGCTGCGCGTAAAGATCCAGACGAGGCACATGCCCAGAATCGCCACCGCTCGCGGCTCTTCGGGTGGTCTTGTAGCTTGTGCATCACAATGCCTTCCGGAAAGCAATGAAGAAGCGGCAGGAAGTCGTCAAGCTCGCGCCAAAGAACGTTCATTGCGGGGTCATACAGCGTGCGGCATGTTGAGCCAACGCTCAGCAGCCACTCCTTTCGCGCGCCATACAACGCCGCAAGATACTCGAAGATATACTCAGCAATATCGGGAACTCCTAGGCAGTGGTGCATGATCGTCGCAGCGGGGCGTAGACACGATGATGGTTGGAGGATGTAGATAGGCGGCGGTGCAGTTCATCATTTGAAACACCCCATAATATCACGTGTTCAGACGCCGTCACGCTCAATCAGAATTGTAGATTTCTCGCTCTCTCCTCCAGCTGTATGCCAGGTAGCTTGGCACAACTGCTGCCATTCGAGCTGAGATTGAGTCGTTAGCAGGAGGCGAGGCGTTGTGTTTGGCGTCTATGGTCAAAACGCGCTTCGGCACTTGCCGGACCATCGGCGTCTCATAAGGATCGACACTTTTTCTCTCACGGTCACCCATCCGACCCTGGCGCCCTCGTCATCGCGACTGAGAGAGGAATCTGGTGAGCAAGTACACGGCGCAATTGGTGCATAGTCACGAAGAGGACAATCATTTATTTGTAGCGGCTCGTTCGCGCTGCGCCGCGCTGTGACGATGCAGCATCACACGAATGGAACCCTAGAAAGGGGACGATATGCGTTAACATCAGGGCCTCCTACGAGAGAACGGATGCGTGGGCACTTCCGTGCGGTCTTGATGCAGCATGCGCGTCGAAGCCACTGTCTTCACCATTGGTTGCATGAATGCTCAGCTGTGCCACCCCAGATGGGACTAGGTGCGGAGATGACTTATAGAAGGGGCTTTCGCTGGAGAGTGCACCTGTTCTCTCGTTGTGGGCAGCGTGTAGTGTGCTCTAGGAGTCGTGCGCCCGAATATATCCTGGAAAACGTGCATATCACGAGGGTGTTGGCTGGCGCAGTGGCACAAGCGTCGATAACTGGATGAGCTACAAACGGCGCCACTACGCATACTTCCTGCAACTGCCGGTGTATTCGTCGCAACTCTGGCTCACCAACAGGGCTACGATTTGTGGTGAATGTATGAGCATGTCATTGAGTGCGTCTACTGGAGTATCAATACCGAACATATGCGTGTGACGGAGACGCATGACGAACCGATGCACTTATAATTTGCAGCGTCCTCGAACCCCGCGAAAGGCGGGATGGGCCCGGAAGCTTTGGTCATCTAGTTGAAAGCTGGCTCCACAGGAAGATAGTGACGGGATAACATTGCTCATGGCTGGATGCAGGGGCCGGAATATTGTCGGTAGACAAGGCTATAAATCCCACAATTGACACGAGAGGTGAGCCACGGTTTCCTTCTCTCTTTAGCACGCGCAGCTCATCTTCCGTCAGCCGTTCGACCAGCATAGCGGCAACATCAGGTGCGACGCAAATGCATGAGCAAAGACTGCACAATTGGAGAATATCACTGTCCACGTACGTCTCACATCCGACATTGCAGGGGCACATCCCCCGCTCCGTCAGGGACGCCCTTTCGCGACCGATATCTTCCTGCAATACTCCAAATCTGCTGATTCCTGGCACGAAACGTCCGTCAGTGAGCGTACAAGCGGCGAGGGCGAGCGCAGTCAGAGGTAGTCGTAGTCCTCAAGCCTGGTCTCAACCAGTCGGACGATGTCGGTATGTAGGGCATCATATGGGATATCTCGACGAAAGGAATGTAATCACTTACCGTGCAAAGCTCCCCGATGCACCAATATCTCCTTAGCAGGCGGCTCCCTCCTGCGCCGCGAACCCCCATTCTGGCCTCTATGCGCAGGTGCAGCACGCGTTCTCTATACATACTGCCGTAGGAGCTCCCTGGGAGACGATCGGTGGCGACCTCGCCCTGCGCCTCTACCCGCTGGCTCATCGTGCCGAGGCCCACGGTGCCTTTCTTGGTGTACGCTGGCGATACCGCCGTTCGCCGATGGTCTGAAGGCGGAGAGCTCACATCCACGGTGAGAACCCTGGTAAGAACGACCAATTGTCGGGTTCTGTCCGGCTTTCAGGGTAGCCTGGACTGCTGGGACGAAGGAGGAGGCTCTGAGGTGAGGTGGTCGAGGAAGATGAAGGCGGGAGCTTAAGGAAAGGTGGCAGCTCCGGCCGCCGTCGGGGCAGGAGACGTTGTCATGATAGCCGGACATGAAAGCAGTGGGCGTTGCACCCAGGGACACCAGGCTCGGGGCTGCACTTGGGTTGCTGGTTATATCGACGAATGCCCTCGCACGTTATATATGTGGAATCACCGCGGCGGTACAGTCAGTGAGAATCACGTAGGTGCGAATTTGTGCTAGCATTTTTTTTGACGTCGCGAGGGCACTGAGAAACATTGCAATATAGATTTCTTCCCATACAAAGGTTTCAACACTCCGGTCGCCAAGTATTTCGGAAATGATAAGTTGTAGGAGACGACATGTCGTACAACATTTCGACAACTCGGCACGAGAACACAGGCAGCGTTTCGGCGAGAATGTGAGCATCATTTAGTAGGCGCATCTACTGTGCTTCAACGGCGTGCAAGAACAAGAACCACGGTCGTACCGAGGCCGGCACCGGGCGTTCAGAGCAGCGAAACGCGCCCCGGGCCCGGGGCTTGCTCTTTGCAGAAGTCAACGACAGCGGAAGAAAACGTTGTCTATGGATGCTGTGCCCTCTGTACGGCCTCTGAACGCCGACATCCATCATTAATTGAATTATGCGTCGTCAGACGCAAGTTGTTCAGTGCTGGAGATGACCGAAATCGAGTCACGGGCGGCTGATTGTGGCGGCTCCGCTGCTAGCTTCGGAGGGATGACTTGCTCGCCACGCCTGTTGGCGGCTCCGCTACAACTCGGACATAGTTTGTTTTTGATTCTGGCTCTCAGACATGACTCCCACCGTGCTGCTGCGGAGCCGTCCTGTGTGACTAGTGTTTATCGCAGGCCGGCGTAACCGAGGCGAAAAGGGTTTGGTGCTCTAGAAGCAAACGTCGATAGGCTCTGTCGCCACCAGTTTCTTTGCAAGCGCATTGAAGATCTCCTCTGCGGTGTACGGAGGGCTTTATCGTCGTCGACCACTTGCTGCCGGCCTCCGTGCCCGCTGTATCCTGTGTTACTACGAAATGACTCTCAGAACGTCGCTCGTTCGCGGTAGACTCTTTTCAATCCTTATGCCCAAGCTAAAAGCTTTAGACCCTGATTCCATCCACTCTAGAGGCTCAGTACGCGGACTTCCTTCCCCACTAGTATCGTACTGAACCCCGTATCTAGGCAGCTTGAAGGACCGACAATTGTTCCTTGTATGGCCCCACGAACCATACTACTGCTATAAATCCTGTGGATGGACTTTGAATGCATGCAACTGCTTCTGGAAGATGGCATCTGTATGTGATAGTGCTTAGCGTTTGCTCCTCAAGCTGACACCACTTCAGGCCGCCACCGTGACTGTCTGTAACGGCCACACAGTCGCTTCGACCATCGGTGACCAAAGGCTGCTTGACAATGTGTACACCGCTCGTGTAAATCTTTGCATGAATTGGCCAGCGGCAAGCGCACATACGGTCAACGGCGGGCTACCAGGTACGCAGAAGTCTTGATGGCGCGCACGCGGCCAGCGCTGATGACATAATCCCGAACCCCGCCAGATTTCGGCGTCTAATGTTCCGCGCGCCAAGTCGCCGACCAAGCGTCTAACGGTAGTCTCTGGGGACCGAGATCCTTTCGTTCAGTCGACCCGTCGCTCTTAGGGTTTCAAAGAGCTAGCAGATCCAAACATTCAAGAAGTGTTTTATCACGATAGATAGCGGATTTTTCTGTTCACGAGTGGTCGAAGGGACCAGGCAGTGGCCGAGATGACGTCAAGCTAGGGAGTCACGTGAGTTATGCATTACGATCACGGTCATTGCCGAACGCCACCAAGAGGCCGGTTGGAATCGGGCGGGTGTAACCGCTGTACGCTAAACAACGTTGTTACCGTGCGAGACTGGGAGGTTAACCAGAATAACGGCAGCAGAAGACGACCTTCATCGCAGCAATGGGAACTTGATCTGTGCACCGCCAGTTTGGCTAGGCCCCCGCCCAGAATCGGCCAGTCCATGGAAACAAACATTCGTCTGGACCTCGATAATCGCAGACGCTTACTACAACGGGCACATGTCTTAACGTTTGTTGTTTCTGACGATGTCTCAGTCCCAATTGTATTTCGTTCGCACATCTCCGCCCCAGCATCTGATGCCACCCACGGTGATTCAGCGTCACGTCTTTCGCTGCATACCAGCCTCGGGCACTCTGGCGGGGCATTGCAGCTGTGAGTGCAGGCTAACTGTGGGGTGATTTGGTTCTGTTCATCACGACCCTCGTTCTATTGACAAAGGCAGCATTGTGCGACGGGCGGCTGGAGTACCAGTATCTGCCTCTACACAACAAAGGGAATGTTGCAAAAAGGCGAGCGTCTTGAATACTGCTTAATTGATTAACCATGGCTGAAAGGATTTGAAGTTGCCGCCTTAGGCTTACATTGTACTTCACAACGCCTTAAGAGCGGAACTTCGCATCGATGAGCGAGCACCTGCCCGCCATCCAACTCCCCGTACTCTCGAGCCAACAACGTCTCCCGCACATAGAGATGGAACAGCCCCTGTTTTATCGCGCTCTTGCAGTTGAGCGCTATGGCACGTCTTGCATTTTGCGCAGGCTTCCGAAGAGAGATCTGCTCTCGTGTTCCAGAACCTGTCGCTACGTTCGCTACCTTGCCTTTGCCACCCACTTCAGGGACTTGACATTTCAGATCCACCCTCTCGTTATGAGGCCTAAGGCGTCCGGAGAGGGCACGACGAGCGATAACTCTGCGGAGGCGGACGACGAGGGCCGCCGAAATAACATCGATATCGATCACGGCGAGGACAGTGGAGACGACGACGCCGACAACGATGATGATGGCGATGATTCTATGGACCGAGACGACGAGAGCGAGAACGAGAGCGGCGATGGCGACAGCAGTCACCGTGGCCATTCTTCGTCCGCAATGGATATTGACTCTTCCAGCTCCGCCACCTGTTCTGAAGCCGACCCTGGGGAAGAATCATCCACGTTATTGGGCGTCTTACGGTATCTCTCGGAATACGCATACATGAACCGCTACGTGAAGAGTCTAGAGCTCGACATGCGGCCTCCAACAGGGCTGGCGGGTCGTAAGACGTGCGAAACAGTGTACTTCTCAGACGCTCGGACATTCCTCTGCATCCTCCATCGCCTCTGTAATCTCGAGAATCTCTGGCTCAAGGATATCCTTCTTACAGGGGACGCCAACTCAACGGCTGGCCTCATCACAGAGTTTGGTCGGAGACTCGTCTCGCTACATCACCTCTGCATTGACGTGACCGTCCGCTGGCCGCTGACGTCTGAGCCACCCCCTGGTCTCCTTCGCAACTTGCTCATGCCATTCGGGAGTATCGGCGACCTTCGCATGAGACGATGGGTAGACCTCGCGTCGTACATCGAGCCCTTCCCACAGCATCTCGAGATTCGCTCGTTGACATTGGAGGAGTACGTGCGAACGGTTCCGCTGTTTTTCGTGCTTAAGAAGCACCCGGTGATCCATCTGCTCCGACGGCTCGACTTTCAGGAGGACATATGCACGTCTCTCCAGGAGGACGACACGGAGTATGACATGTCGCTGTACCACCTGATCAAGATCGTAGGCCCGAATCTGGAGCATTTCGGCTTCGGAACGCTGTCGCTGACCCAGCCATTTATCAATAGTATGTTACATTTGCTCCGAGGTCACAAATACTCATGGGGACTTTTCAGTTTGTTATGGCTCGGTCTTGGAAGATGCGCTGGAGGAGCAAGTTCTCCCCTACTTTCGCCCGGATAAGCTTCGCACGCTTGCTGCGCACGTCATAATGTGGAGCCCTGAGTATTACGATCTGTGCGACGGGCGCAATAACATCTGGACCGAGTGCGCCTACACTCTGCAATTGCTGCGGGACGACCCGACGGGAGCTGCCGCCGGTGTACGCTCTATCGCCGTGAAGGTGACGGGTGGGTGCGTATCGGACGGAAAGGAGTTCGAACAACAGGCAGAGAGGCACGGAAGAAGATGCACAGTTCTGCTCGAGGACGAACTACTGAAGTGGACCGCACGGCCAGGTTTCGAGGGCGTCGTCGTCGAGTTCTTGGACACCAGCCAGCTGCCGAAGGTGTATTCTGCGATCCGGCGTGGCCCGCAGCTGCTGTTTCCGCGACTCCACAAGAAGAGAGTGCTGTACGGCCAGGACTGGCAAAGTATCGAGGAGCGTTGGGTAAGTTCGCCGCCCCTTGAGAATTCCCGGCACGTGCTAACGGGCGCTGCAGCATCATTAGGTACGAGAAGAGCTAGAGGGACTTTAACGTCAGCATATGAATTCTATCTTACGTCAAGTACATAATTGCTTTGTATACACGTACTTGCGTATGAGTTTCCAATAAATGTACATACACGCCGGCACATCCGACGCCGCCGCGAGGTTGGCAAGTGGGCTGGTCTGATGATACTTGGGCCGAGTAGCGCTTGCTAAGCAACCACCAAACACAGGGGGAAACAGGTTGTAGCTTTAGCTTTTCGGTTCTATGATATTTGGCGACATCCTCCTTTTCCTACAAGCGCGCGGGCTCACAGCAAGTAAGCGCCCGCCATCTCCGAACCAGGCGCTAAAAAGTACGGTGTGGCTTCTTCTGCGTCTTCAACCTTGTCTCCGAAGGTTGTCTACCGAAATTTCACCTCGGAAGCACAAATTGATTGAATATTTAGTAATTCCTATGCCGTCCTTCATTAATTATTCCTCTTCATAGTTCATCAACAGTACCCATCATACACCTGGACGTTCGGTCTCATGATGCTACCGTGCGCACCTTCGGAAAACCGAGCCATCTAGATCTGATTATGCCTCGGCTCCGATTTATCCAAGCTCGATTTGTGATATATGTGAGCCTTAATCTTGCAATCTATTTCCTTCCAATGCATTCGGCAGTATCGCTGTTAGATACTTCCTAACATTGGGCAATGGCCATCATATCATACCCATCACGTCTGCACGTCAGAACTGGAAATTATCTAGCCATGCTTGATATAAAACAAGTAATGAGACTGCGCCGCGAACAGATGTTTGTAAGCAGCGCAGACGATGCCAACAACTGGAGGCATCGGAGCCTGAGCTCATCAGTACGTCGGGAAGCTTCATAGCATTGCTGGCAGCACAGATACAGTTAGCAAATATCCACACCTCAGATCTTTTCATGGCCACCCTATTTAACTTTCGTTCACCGGGCATGGCCTACACTATCCACATCCCCTGCCATGCGGCTCGGTGTGCACATTCCTATGCTCGTGGCTTCATCGGCGCTGGCATTGACAGATTCAGTACCTACCCCGCAAGTATGCCCCCGCCTCAACGGATACGTCGTGTAATCTACATTTCTAGAACTGTATCAAAGCGGTACGATGCTCGCCTGCACAGAAGTAGGTATACTGTACTGGGTCCTTCCATGTGATAGCCTGACCTCTGGGCGAGTCCAAGTTGCCTCACGGCGGCGACATGCACTGGTGTGAGTGCTCTAGTCGTAACGGTTGTCGCCAGTGCTGATATCTTCCGCAGCTCCAGCCTTTCGTGGAGGCTGCAGCACCGGATAATGTCTCGACCCTGCAGAGCAAGGAAGCCTGAACTACAACGTATGTTAGCTGCGCCTCGCGAACTCTCGACACTGCTGATGGTGGCCGACGTAGCTGTACGCCAACATCGCTGGGCAGTGCGCTTGGGCGCCGGATGGGTGCTCAATCACGATACGCGCGTCCTGTTGCTTCTGGCTGCACCATGATCCCATCTGTTTTGATTAAGGCGACTACGTCACGGTAAAGTTCTACTACACAACCATACTGGACGCAGGGTCTGTAGATCTGCCACTTGTGTAGATGGACTATACTTTCGCATCTCCCTTGATTCTGACACAGTAATTGCAGGAAGCGCGTAATCGAATGGTGGGAAGCCGGCACGGTTCGGACAGAGGTATAATTGAATGTTCCATTAACTAAACATAAATCGCTAGCTAACTAGATGCGAGCCTTAGACTGGGTCAAGCTTGCCGTGTGGGAACCTGAACGACTGGTGAGTCCATCGTCCATCATTTATCCATCTCCCATAAGCCCCTTCGATTGAGTATGAGCGCACGCTAATCACATTTCCGATACAGGCTTCGTTCCAGCTCAGGTCCAGTTTTTACTGACCAATCTGCAAGCAACGGAGAACTCGATGGTTTTGATGATACGAGCGCCGACGGTGGTGCCGAAAGCCTTTTGAGCAGCGACAGCGATCGTGCAGAACACGAAGATGACCCGTCCTGGAGTATATCAACGTATTACGAGGAAAATCCCTTCGGGTTGGTGTGAGTGACCTCCGCGGAATGTGGTTGGAAAAAGACCATTCATACCGTCCATTATGGCAGATTTCCGGCTTTTACAAGTAGCGGCACAGTCTCAGGCCTGCGTGTGCGAGCGCCGCTGCACTAGGACGTTCCATGCTCACAGTCTGTTCCCCCTGCTCTATGATCGGTTATCAGTAGTTTACTCCCTTCCGATTCCATCAGGTTCCCAGAAGTATGCGAGAACTAGTGTTACTATGTGTTCCGTTGAGTATTTCTCTGTCCCTTCTGTGATACTGCTAACCGTGGTTTGCGTTACACAGGCAAGAAAGGCGGAAACGATTCGCATGATTCGAATTGGATGTTTACGTACGATCCGGGTGCAACCAGTCGTCAGAAGTCTGACTGCGCCCGCACGGACAAGTGTAGTCACATGAACAAGGTTAACAATAGCTGAACAAAAAATCCGAGGTCTGGTACGCATATATCTGCGACTGCAGCATTCTCTATGCTTGACAATATATGACTAGACTTGGCGTGCGACGAGAAGCCAAAAAAGTTCGAACATCGAAGGTCAGCTCCTAAACATCGTGGCGCGGGATGTGATATTGACTGATGTGTCTTCCAATACTACAGGTGGTCCAAGCGCTGCAACGCGTTATGTACCGTCAGTGCAAATAATGGTATTTATTCTTGCCCCATCTCTGCTTCGATCATACAAACCGCAGACAAATTCATGCGTGTGTGGCGCAGAGAGTAACAAACTCAGACTGAAGGACAGGGTGCGCATTGCCCTTGGTGCGCATCTGTTGTTACACCGGCGCTGCCTCGTTGCTGACGATTGGTATGATAAAATCATAATCAGTCCTTCTTCAAGCGGGCTTTACGCGAACTGGAATACCGCCGGTGCCCTGCTCCTGTGACACCGAACGATTCTCTGATTAAGGCCGAGAAGGATGATGGCACCCTCCAGGCTTGATACCTGCCAAGCTTTTTCGGGCTCACCGTGGATACCCTATACAATGATTTTGGCAGCGAACCAGCAAAACGGCGAGCGACAGCTATATATATATGTCTGTATGCCTCTGCTGCTTTTTTCGAGTTGTTCTCGATCTGACGAAGCCAGCAATTTCGGGTGTATCTTCGGGGTGGATCATCCGTATCATACCACTGTTTGCGATTCACGGGGTACATTAGCACCTACATGTCTGCTGTTTTAGCCTGAGCCTTCAATATTATGCGTATTGGTTGCGACAAGATGTAAGCTGAACCTTTGAGCTGGTTGCAGCGCAAGCTCCGAGCCTTACTTAGCATCTGTCGCATAATTTAACATCTTTCGAGCTACATTAGCTTGACCGCTTAATATCTAATATCGACCGATGCCAAGCAATGCGGTCTACGGTGACAGTCTTACTTCCTGAGATCCTCAAAATCGTGTGTGCATGGAGGTTGGTGACCGTAGCTGTTGCACATCACCCATTTACCACGTCTGCCCGGCAGCCGACGTCGCGCTCTTGTTAGAGCGGAATTACAGACTTCTAACTATCGTGGTTTACAATCCGCTGTCTAATCCTAAGTATAATATACAGAGGCATGCTGGCTTCGCGAAGAGTGTTGTCCGTTGCCTTGCCCGCTCAGTGAAGGTCATTAAGAAGCTTCTGCGTGGCAATCCGGGAGGAGCCACCCTCCTTCCACAGCTCGCTCGACATGTGCTTCAGATTCTGCGTATTGGCCCGCTTCTTGGCACCGTCCTCGCTGAACGCCTTATCTAGCACCGTATTTGCCTCCGCGCGGACGGCGTCGAGCGTGGCTGTCGGTGCCTTGCCCGTGCGGTAGACAGGCTTGAGGCCCGAGCTGCCCGTGCGCACCTCGATGAGCTCGTACGCGACGCCGAGGTTCTCGGTAAGTAGCAACGTATTCAGCGCTTGGTCAGCGCCGAAGGGCCAGCAAATCCTAGAGATGCGTGTCATGTCAGCATTTGCGCGTTCAGATGCGGAACTCCAACGGCGCACATTGGGACTCCTGCGACAATGGACTCAGTGATGCTGTTGAAGCCACCATGAGTCAGGAACCACCCGGTAACCTGGTAGAGATGTCAGTATATCACCAGACTTAAGCTAGTGCGTATGCTTACAGGATGCTCCAGTACCGTTTGCTGAGGAGCCCAAGTTGTGAGGAAGCCCAAGCCCGAGGCCTTGATTTTCTCAGAGATTTCATCCGGAACTTTAGCCCATGGAGAAGCGTGGCTCAAGATCTAGAAAGGGAGTGATCAGACGAGAGCAATGCAGCGGCGGTATGAACTTCACTAACGAAAGGGATCTTCTTCTCCATCAGAACATCTAGCACAGTCCAGAGCCTGTCCGGCTGAGTGCTCCAGAAGAGAGTTCCGAAAGAGATCTGTCGTGCCATGAAATTCGGGTAAGCACTTTTAAAGTGTCACGCTAAACTGCAACTTACGTATATGAGTGAATCCTCGCCATGTGCCTTCAGAGCATTCTGCATGAACGCGAGAAGTTCAGGTGATTTGGCAGCTCCTTCCATCTCAACTCTGGCGGAGCGCTTCGTGTCGGATATCAGAGGACCGACCAGATGCATCTTCCGAGATGTGAGCGCGAAGAAATCGTCGAGAGCTTCGATGCATTCTTTTGGGTCGTAAATGGCTGATGTAAAGCTGACAAGAGCGTCACACTCATGAATCAATCTGTTGGAACGCTGCTCAGAAAAACACTCCGCGGATACGGGGAAAGACCACAGACGATGCAGCATCCAGGTGAAGAAGGCCAACAAAGGGTACATCCAGGATGCGCTGAAGGAGACAGGGTCAAATTTTGTAGTGCCTAGGTTCAGAAGGCCGTATACCTCCTGAGGGAAGTTCTCATACTTGAATATTGGCAAAAGACCCGGCGCTTGGATGACCTGGTCACTGGGACTGGAGACGACCTGCAAAAAAGTTGTGAGGCTGGAGCCGGAGACTGTCGATCTCTAGCTGGTGAAAACTTACCTCCAGCGCAGCAGGCATCAGATCCTGCCCAGTCGCAGCCATGTGCTGGGTCACCAATCTCTGCAGATATCCGCGGCTGTCTGGTCCGAAAGGTCCGAAAAGCGCGTAGAGGGAGGTGCCAAAGGTGGGCCCCGAAGCCCATACCTTTATGTCTGGGCTGAGGCGTCGCGCAATCTGCAGCAATTTATAACAGAATATCTGACAGCAAATATCATTGTTGCAATGCGCCAGTCTTTCTGACTCAGTACTTACGTCTACCAAGAGAGCGTCTGGGCGTTTTAAAATTGCAAGTTGCTTCTGCTGGTGAGCGCATAAGGCGGATTCACCGTTGGCGAGCATCCAAAACTGCTGCTCAAAAGATCTCTCGAATTCCGCAAGATCAAATGGGTTTTTCTCATCGAAGTTCAGCCCCACCACTCTGTTTCGCTGTCAGCACAGGGTTAGGTGGTAGAGAAGAGTGCTCACCTTATGCGACTTTCGAACTCTTCTTCACCATCTTCGAAATTACGGGCTAGCTCTGCAGTCACCTTGCCGTGAAGACTACGTGTGGTCAAGAAGGTGATATAGAGATCCTGTAATTTGACCAGCTTTGCAGACAGCGTGCATAAGGGGCGAATGTGACCTTGACAAGAGCAAAAGTCAGCGGCAGGGTCAGGGAACAAGGGGAATAGTGGACCCGTACCCCACGCCAAGTGTGCAGCGATCGCAAGATGCGAGGACGGCATGATAGGTGTGAAATCTTTAGTCGAGCTTCAAGCTCCTCATATACGAAGCTAGATGTGCAGGACCGTGCCACTACCATGCCGCGAGGTGCCTACATCAATATGGCTATCAGGCGTGTTTGAGCATTGAAACATTGATGTTACGCGTCCCTCGTGAAGACCTCACTTCGGGAGAATCGTATTGGCCGGCGAAGTATTTGGATCCCTATTGCCATAAGGGAGATGATCAACAGCGGGGACCAGGGGGAATTATCTTTGTTAACCGATAATCGAAACGAGTGAGATGTTCACCGCTATTCACTGCCGGTGAGTCCGCCATTTACGACCTCTCGTTTGCTTCCGGCCTGTTTCAGCTGCCTTACTAATCTGAAGGCGCATGAAGGAATTTATTCTGCATTCGCAGCATGCACATTTTTTTCGCAGGGTTATTGTGCGTTTATTCGTGTTTTCATGCGTGATAACGCGTTATCACGCAGCACAGCCTCTCCCAACACCACCTGATCTCGGTTTATCCCGGCATAGAACATGCGATAACGCGTAATAACGTGTGGATTCATCTCAAAACCAGTAATCAATGGCCAGACTGTCAATGCTCCCCTTCCATAGTCAGGCTGGTCTTATTGCCCACCGTGTGCGCGGCTCTCTGTGCCTGCTGCAGGCAACAGGGTCGTCCCGGCCCATTGAAAGCCCTGCTTGTCTCGTAGCTGCCTGTGTAGAGGCTGACTCTTTGTGTGCCGCCCAACCCGACCATTAACTCTACAGGCCCACTTCATCCCGTTGATAATATCCGAGCTGCATACTATATTGAGCTTGTAGCTCAGGTTCGCCATGCGCTCCATACTCAAGTCAGAGATGCCGCCTGTTTGCAAGATGTCTGCAGATCGGTCTTGTCAGTGCATTATCCTGTTATAAAAGGCCAATATTCATGGATGAAGGTGTCCGAGCAGAACAAGTTTACAGGTTTGTGTAATCCTGTATGCTGATACCGTGTTACCACTCGTTATTACGCGTTATTACACGTTATCACCAGGCGCCTATGCATTTTCCGCGTCGTGAGTTGCGAAATCGTAATAAGCTCTGACAGACACCTTCATATACTAAGGCCGAACGCCATCCGGCTCTCGATTTGGATTTATCCAAGATCGTTCCTGGAATATCCCTCCCCAGATTGTGGGGCACAGAAGGATCGACGGCGGGACAGTTGGAACATAACGTTCAACGTTCAACGTTTCAATGTTAACAATAGCTGTGCACGCCGTCATTAGGCATCGCTGATTGCAGGAACTCGAAGTTAACGCCACAAAACTCCGCTCAAGCGCCTGAGAAAGTTGGCATGCGTGAACTGGAAGGGAGGAAAGGAAAAAGATTAGCTTAATAATTTGGGTGATAGAGAGCAGTATACAAGATGATAGCCCAAGCCGATGCCGTACAGTAGCACTTATTTCCGCTTCGGAGTCGCGGCCGCAGAGGTTAGCCCGACAATCATCTTTTCCATCCTTTGGTTCGCAACCTCAAGTTCTGCTACGCGTCCGAGAACATCCGCGAGGCGCATCTCAGCGGTGCGCGCCATGTCTACGAGCAGTGCGAGCTTTGCACGCACGTACCGGTCGCCGTGCGCGGCCGCGAGCCGCTCCTCAAAGCCCAGCGCAGCATCAACTTCGACAGACGACGGAACTACGGAACTGCGATCAGTACACGCAGGAGCTGAGAAGACGCAGGTGGAGACGCACTGGGTGTCAATGAGGACGCGGGGCACCCGCCATCCTCGTCTTCTGCCTCGCGATGCACAGGCCCGCTGCTGCGCAGGTGCATGCCCCGCTTCGATCCTGACCCTCCGGACTCATCCATCTCGTGCGCTTTGCGTTTCAGCTTCCGCGCGGGCGTCACGACAACTTCGGCGACGAGCCAGTTCGGTGCGCGCACTTCCTCGCTCACTGACGTGCGTGTCGACCCGTCTGGGGGCGCGGGCTGCGAGGTCGCTGCTTCTGAGACCTGCGCTAACCCGGTCGGAGCCGGCGCGGATCCGTCGGGTACAGGCCAGATACACCTGGATTGCCGTACCCGACATTCGAGACAGCGCTTTAACCTCGTATCTTTCGATGTCAGGCACTTGCGTCCGTGCGTTATGCAATTGCCACATGCCGCGAAGCCCTCCTAAACAAGATATCGTCAACGATCCTAATCTTCCATTACTCGAGAGCACTCACATGCAGCTTGATGTAGTCAGATACCTTCACGGTGTCTTGAGGCCGCTTCCTCTGTGTCTGCGACGATGATGCCTCACCCGCGACGACACCGTTCTCTTTATTAGCCTGTTCCGCTTGCTCCTGCCCTCCGATAGGCCCCTGGGAAATCGACTCTCCATTCGGTGTCTCATCCTCGTTGATAAACTCGCTCGTCTTGACTGCCCGCTTCCGCTGGCGGGGGGCTTTGACTGGCGGAGCGATTATCGCCTGTCGGCCTGCTGGTGGTACGGATAGTGCACTCGCAGTTGCTTGCGGGACCGGCCCCGCCGGAGGCTGGTAAGGGATGGACTGCGAGCTACCTGTTCTCTGAGCGTATGCAGGCGGTACGTAGAGCGTCGTGGTAGCACCAAGGGGCGCAGTCTGGTTGATAGCGAGGTAGGGAGCATAGGGGTTTGCAACGGTGCTCATGGCCGCAGGATCAGGCTGCGGCTGTCCAGCCATGGAACTGTGTGGCCGCTCGTGGTTTGTATGCGTCGTCGCGTCGCCCGCAGGCCCTTGGGCGGGTTGTGGTACCGCCGTCGGCGTGAGTTGTTGAGCTCTCAGAGTCTCATCATTCGCAGACTGCTGCTCCGTAAGCTGGGCAAGAGGAGCCTGCTGCGGTAACTGCGCTACACGAAGATTAGCTACCTTCGCAAAAACATATTCAATGGGCCTAACATTGTGGTGCCTGAGGGACGCTGGCGGGGTCTGGTACACGGGTCAGAGGATATCGACAATGGCCAGAAGCAACACGACGCACCAAGTAACGGCTCCCACCATTTATGACCCTGTATCTGATGCTCTCTGCTTGTCATGAACTCGTTGTACTCGAACGGAAAGGTGTGGATGTTGACAGCTGGAGCAGGGTTCTCCGCGTAGAGGGTTGTGTAGTGGGTCAGCATCGGGACGACAGCCGTCGGTATCGGCACAGGGCCAAACATCTTGCAGGTCGAGAGATGGTCAAACAAGGCTGCCTGCGAACGCGTGAGCACGAAAGCGGAAGCGGAGAGCAGAAGCTGGCACGCACCATTTCCCAGTGCAGTCCCCGGGAAGCCTCTGTCTGAGTTGGTACATCTTTCTTGAACTTATCGCGCAGAGACACTATCGTGTAAACGCGTAAACACGCATTCGCGAAAGCGTATGAGTGAAGCTCGCTGGGGTTTGTCGGGAGGATGGCCGTCGGAGGTGAAGTCATTTCAGCCGCGCGCAGGACGCTCAAATTCCGCGCCTACTACGCGACTTTCTTTTTCGAAATAACGATGCGAGAATACCGTCCAATGAATCGTGAACAGAGGAGGAGACAGGGGTTTGAGGACGAGGCAGAGGGGTAACGATCAAAATTGGGATTATTTTGACACGGCCCGACGCTTCCAAATCTGGGTTCAGGGCGCATCACTGATGCGTGAACAGTCGCTTTGCAGACACGGGGCTAATTTTATACTATTTTGCACGGATAGAGGTACAAAAACGCATTCAGTTTGTTTCATAAATACACTTAAGCTACTTCCCCATGGGGGTGTTATTGTTTTAATGGTACAAAAAGATACACTGCTTTTACACCTTTTGAGGGATTAGAAGAGTCGAAATATCCTCGGGGTGAAATCATCATGATTTCTTTCTCCATATCTTCCCCAAAAAAGTTCCCTCCAGGTGAGACAAAAAGAACAGACTTATTTTGTGGTCCCCGTCTCTGCAAAATATGAGGTAGAAAAGCTGGACTTTTATCAGGGAAACTGGTATGGAAAAAACTGATATTTCTTTTCAGACATAAGATTGATCGCCCACTCATGGCCTATTACCCCCCTCTCGTCGTCCGCTGTGCGCCCACTCATCGCCCTGCGCACTGATGGCCACTTGCTAGGAAATCGCCCACACATCACCCACACATTGCCCACTCGTCGCCGAAACAGTGGTGGTCACTTACCAGTAAATCGCCGCTTACTAACAATGCATGACCACTTAAACAAGACCTTTTCTCCAACGCGCGGCACCACCCGCTGCTCGACGGCGGGCTGCTCACGCTGCGCGCGCACCGCGACGCCACGGCGCTCGTGCGTGCGTACCGCGTGCTCTGCGGGTGCAGCCTCGGCGCGGAGCTCCTTGCGAGTGTCGCCGCCGCCGCGCCGCGCGATGCCGCATCCAGCGAGGACGCGAGCGACGGCGACAACGAGCTTCCCACCGCCGACGCAAACGTGCACTCGTGGGACGAAAATGGCAGCGACGGCGAGGACGCATGGCTCGGCACCGAGATCCGTGCGGGCCGCTGCAAGGCGGGGAGCGTGCGCAGCGTCGAGGTGCGCGTCGAGGAACCCGACGTGGACGCCGGGGCCGATCATGCCTCCCTTGGTCGCGCACACGACAGGCCGCCGCACGCGCCGCG